CAGTTGAGTTTGCCCTCCTGCTTTGCGAACATGTAGTTATTTTTCCGCTTCATGAACTTGAGATTCACTTACATTGAAAATTTTAGGGTCATTTTACCAAGTTGGTCTCATGCAATCTGCTATTGATTGTTTCTCACTTATTTCCACCATAAATTTGGCTTATGCAATACATGAATCATTTTTTGAAACTTATTTCGGTCAAAAGTTTGGCTCATGCAATAATTCATTGTTCGATACTATTCCCATCGATTTCTCCTAGTAAATGCTCTTCAACAAATTGTCACTAAAATGGGAGCAACGAACTGGAGCTTCAATGGCGATACATGTGAAGTGGAGACTATTGTGCCTTCGCCACCAAGTGGGTCTGAGGGTTATGTTGAATGTAACTGCAACTTTAATAACCTCACTGTCTGCCATGTCACGAAAATGTATGGTTTACTCCTCTTTATCACTTCCTATATAATTTCTGTTGTATGCGAAAGCTGTATTGTCTCTTTTGCAGTGTGATAAAAGGTTATGATCTTCCTGGAGCTCTTCCACCCGAACTCGTGCAGCTCCCCTACCTTGAATTGATGTAAGAGGCTTCTAAACTGGTTTCTATTGAATTTAGCGTTATGCCATATGGAAAACTCATGTACATTTTAATTAACAATTTGCTTACAGTGATTTTGCCTACAACCTCCTCACTGGTACAATCCCACAAGAATGGGCTACAACACAGTTGAATTCCTTGTATTCTCCATTTTTTACTTGCGGCTTAATTATAGTAGTTAATGGTTTCTTTGAGAACTGATTGTAATCCTAGAATTTTGGTGCAGCTCTGTTCTTGTAAACCGGTTATCAGGGCAAATACCAAGGTTTTTAGGAAACATGAAAAATCTCACTCACGTGTATGTCTTCTATTGAACTTCCCTCAATAGATTTATTGATACATTTGGTTATTGGAGTCTGGTAATGGGTAAAATTGTAAGGTGCTGGTAACACCACGATTGATTTAGCTGACAGCAATTTACATTTTAGTTTATTAGTTTTCGTTTATCTTAAAAAATGGGGATGGATCTGTGGTTTACTTCTCATTAATTTTGAAATAAATATTATTGTTGACCTTGCAAATTGGACCTTTCACATGGCCAATTGAGGGTCACTCTATGTGTTCCTCCCTGCNGGTAAGGGGGAAGCCTCGGTAATTACTTCGAGTGATGATTGTGCCTCGCAGCGTGTTAGTATTAAGGTTCGAGTGAGGCTAATATTATTTTGGAATCACTTCAGATCACTTCAAAACCACTTCGGCTGGACACATGGCATCTTGCTGAGGAGTTGACACGACGCTCTAAGGTATATTAGTGAGGGGTGTTGATGCAGCACCAATAGAACTATTGAATAGAAAGCGAGAAAACCAAATAATAGGAAGAAGAAATTAGGGGAAGGGATGACAGAAGGGGGAAACACAATAGAAGAAGGAGAAGAATAATGGAGAAGAGAGGAGAAATTCACCACAAGCTACCAATAATTCTATTAATTCATCAACTGAAAAATTACAATACAAAAATAGATTTAGATAGTAAAGCAAACCCTAACGAGACTGGGCCCCGAGCCCATACAAGTCCGCTTGTACAAGTCCAATTCTTTAAATAAGAGTCCAAGATAATAAATAAAGCTTAACTAGAAAATAAAATAAATAAATATCGGATGTCCTCATCAACTCTCTCGGGGTGGGAGAAAACTCGACCCTGTTGAGTGAATATATCACTGTATATTGCAGTCAATCTGATACTCCAAATACTTCAAGTGAAGTCATGGAGGACGATCTTTCTGACGAACCAAGTAACGAAATTCTATGATTGATAGTACTAAAAACTGTAGCTTATTCCCAAAAATATGATCTGACCAAGGGGGCGATCTTTACTTCTAACTAAGTACTGATACTGGATTCCAAATAACCAATACTCATGCATCTTATTTTCAAGATTTTCACATGATTGTACAAAGTGAGGAGCGTAAGAAGCACTTTGATCTATCCAACAAACAAGGAAGTATTGAATCTTGCCATCATTGGTCAATACAATACGTTCATCTAAAATAACATCAATTTTATCTTTATGTGCCATGATAGATGGTATTGAAGTAGAAATATCAACATAGTCAAGTTGGGGGTCCACAAAGCTAATTAGAAATGGATCATCAAATGAAGAATGAAGTCCTCAATATTTAAAGAAGAGTGGTAGCCAAAATATGATGAAAGAGTAATGACATGTGCATTTGGACCAATATGCTTTAAAATTTCATAAGGACCAGCACTACAAGCTTGCAATATAACAAAATCTCCAATATTAAATTCAAAATTTCGCTTATGCAAATCAGCTTGAAGTTTATATAATGCATTACTTGCTTCAAATTGTTTATTGATCTCAATATGCAAGTCATGAAGAT